ACTTTTTAAAAAAACCACTATCTAAAGTTGAAAAAATACTACCATTCTTCTTGTCTAACAAAAATTTGTATCCAGTCCATGTAAGTGTGGACTTAATACTCAAACTAAAAACATTTACATAACCACATTGGAATAAAATATCACAGAAAATAAGTATATAAAGCCGACTGTCTTGTTCAGGATGCAAAATAATTTATCATCTTTCACTACCTATTTTTGCATATCTCCTGGCCCTTTAGTCACAAAATCCCCTTACTCGCTGTTGCTTTGCCTTTCAGTCAGTAATGTATTGTTGAGTAAGGCTGTGTAGTTTTGTTTGTTTGTTTGTTGGTTTTCTAAAGAGACAGTCTAATGTTAACTTAAAAAAATTATCATCTCTGGGAGGTATAATGTGACCCAATTATTAATCAATCATTCTCATAGTAGAACGTGTCCCTCATTTCTAGACTGAACCCTTTAATTTCAACATTCAGCCAGCACAGCTTTGTTACACTCACAGTGTTAAACTAAAAGCATGTCCACATCATCAACAGAATATTTCAGAAAGATCCAAGTCAGAGAGAAACTGCAAGCCAGTAAATCTGTACAGCAATGTATAGTAGCCTGGAGACATAACAGCATCTCACGCCCCCCTTCTGCGGATTTATTGCAAGAGGCTCTGCACATGTGCTTTTTGTACCAGAATTTAAATAAGTCTGTTTAGTACATTAAATCAAATTAAAATTTCCAAAATATCCTGTTTGATGTAATTATGTGTTTTGACTGTGTGTAAATATATATATACACAATACATTTTAAGTCACATATTAATGGGTTTCATCTAAAAAGATCCAGAAAATTAATGTTCAAACTACTCACCAAGAATGAGCTTCTCATTGACCAGAAGAAATGTTGTTACACTTTTAAGAACTTCAGCAGCTGCTAACAGCATCTCTGTCTGTTGCTCATCTCCACAAAAATAAACTATCAGTTGAACCCATTTTTTCAGGACTACTTCTGAAATCTGAAGACACAGAACACGTGAGAAGTATGCTGTAGAATCCGATGCTACCGCTCACCATCACATTAAACTATGGGCTGCTGAAGGGATACTACTCATCAGTAAATGCAGGTTTTTTTCAAGGTGGTGAATCCCAGATGTCCACTCAGAAGTTGGCTTACTATGTCACAGATAGTTAAGATGGGAGATTTTCTTTTAGTCAGAGCAGTATTCATAGGCAATTCTCTCACTCTGTCCCTTCACACCAGACTCACCAACAACCACACAAGTCAATGCATATTTTTGTGTCCTCGGTTCTTCTAAACATGCAAGCTAAAGACAAATATACTGGACTATAACAAAGAGAAGCAATTCTCAGAAGCATCCTACATGTAGACACATACACATATCTGGAAAAACAACTAAGAGTATATGAACCGTAGCATCAATCTTAGGCTTTGGTAATGATACAATGCTTGGTAAAGGGGTGAATGCAGCTCCATCTGTCTCCTCTGCAGATACTGGGGATGAAATTTTTTTTTAATAAGACTGCTGAGGTACCTTGTGTTCTGATGGCATGTGCATTCAAAACACTGAAGGAATCTCCATGTTGGCTGATACACAGCAAAGCTCACTGTCCTAAAACATGAAGAATTAGAAAAAAGAACAGGAAAGAGAAATTTCCTGTTTCAAATAAAATCCAGTTGCCATCTTTAGTCCTCAGACATATGCTAGGAAAACTACTACTCAGCAATAATGGGACAACGCTTTGACTCTTTCCTATGTGTAGTGATGGCTACTAGATTTTTTGTGGAAAGAAATAATGTGCATTTTACCCGTAACTCAAACAGCACTTCCGAGACTTGTCAACTCTGATCTCCATTGGGACAGCTGGGCCATAACTGGGAGGATAAAGTCCTAACTTCCGTAAGTGACCAAGAAAGAGATGGGATCCCCTGCAAATGCCACACTCAGGAGGGCGGCGGGTCAGTCAAGCTGCAGGAACCTCAAGCGCAAGTTAGATAACAGAACATGCAAACTGCAGGAGGTGGCATCCAGGCGCAGCCACAAGCAAGTGTGTGCTACAGCAATTTAAAGGAAGCTCCAGAGGAAAGAAAAACCAAACAGATTGGGACCTCATGCACACGAGAACAGGAAAAGCAGCACCAGCTCGACCTGGAGACACTTGAGGTATATGCAACTATTTTTTTTTTTCCCCTCCTTTCTTTCCTTTTTCACTTATTTTTAATTAAAGGAATTGAAAAACAGAATGACCAAGTAAGGTAAAGAAGAGAACCAATGAAAAGGTGAGTCGAGTTAAAGGGCAGAGAAGCGCAGGACTCATTGAGGGATAAATGAAACCTTGGTCGTGGTCTGCCTCATTCTGCGCGGTGGCCATGTACCTGCACTGCACAAAGGGACAGAGCCAGAGCATGTCCTATAGATTCTGTAACAGGTTAAAAAAAAAAAAAAAATCTCCCAAGATGTTACAGATATTCAAATTTTGAACAGACACATGGACTATCTAGAAAGACAAGAACTTGACTTTTACCTTATGGAAGAGAAACAATCCCTTCTACAGATGCAAATACTGAATGCAAGCCCAAAGACAGACTTTAGATGGAAAACTGATGTACTTGGTCTTTTACAAAGCGGAAGGCACACTCTGTACAGATGTCTTAGATCTCCCATGATTTACATGCTTATTAGAGAAAGTTCTTTTAGCATTACTACAGTTAAGATTGTTACAGCATTTTTCATTAATTCCTCTTTGTAAATTAATACCAAACTTCAGAGCAATAATATGTTCCACGTCTATTTGTGAAACCAGGTTTATATGGTTATTTTAATGTTTATAACTCAAAGTCCTTGCATTTTGCCTTTCTTAAAAAGATTTAACATCATAATTCATGTTCCCAATTCCTGTGTGCAAATCTGTGCCTTCCTTTTTTTTGTAATGAGACAAGATTATTAGCATACAATATGAATTAATTCTGCTGCACGTTCTATAAAAAAATAACAGCTACATAAGGAAAAAAAAGATCTTCATTTTAAAACAGATCATGAGAGTTTTGTCTATTTTTACATATCCATTAAGTGGTTTTTGTATCTTTGAAAATAAACAAACAAAATAATTGTCTAGCATTAAAAGCTGCCTTAGCACTACACATACATACGTGACATCACAGACTGACAATTTAAAATCAAAAGAAATCTGAGCCAGTAATTTGTGCTGGTATAAATCAAAATTAAATAGTCTATAAACAGGAACGGAGAACACAGAGCCTTGAATTTTACAAGGGTTAGTATATTTACTCTAGTGTTTTAAAAACAAATTTTAAGAGGAAATTCAATGAGGAGCTCCATGCAGACAACAAGCTGGTGCGCTCAGACAGTGATTTCAGGCTTAGACTTGGCAAGGTCAGATGGCACACAGTGAGGAAAGGAACTGCACTCAACCACTGCTTCAGCTTCTTGCCTTCCCCTTGGATCTGCTCTCCTCCTGGCTCCTCAGCAATTACAAACCACAATGAAGTTGCACTTTAGTAAATGGACTGGATTCAGTACATGTGTTAATCACCGTAGGCATTTCTCTTTCCACATTATAGTGACTATTTTGGATGCTCTCAGAAGTTGAAATTAATCCATCAGAAAAATTTACTTACATACTTAACTTGAAATGACTTTGAGAGGGATGTACTGAGATGATACTCATGGCCGTTTAATTTCAGAACATGGCAATGTATTCAGAGAGGAAGAGATAATGCCAGAAAAGGTGCAAAGATGCAAGAAAACATAAGCTTGGGGCTTCTATCTAAAAGAAGCCATGTTACTTCTATCACCAAAAACTCCAGAATTACAACACTGTTAAGCAGCTCCGTTTCCCTTACCTGCTGATGGTTCTGCAAAAGATGGATAACCAACTTGGAGGCAAATTTGAGAGCTATGCTTTGAATTTCAGTGCTGAGAAAACAAGGTAAAGAACATTTCAAAAAAAGCAGCTATTTCTGCCATTATTTCATCTCTAGAAAAAAACCAGCCAGTTCTTAATCATTCCTGATTATCACCAATGGGTATTTTGCAAGCTGAGCACTCGGAATTTTTACATTACCGATCTTGATGTTAGTTAAGTTTTTAGTTGATATGCAAATGAAATACGCTCTTACCTTCACCTCTCTCGTGTTTATTTTCTATCTGCATACTTCCCATAGAAAAACACATTTGAAAATGGAAGCCAAGTCAAACAAACCAGACATTATTTTAAATGATAAACAAAAGCATTTCTTCAAGCTGGTGTTAAGCTCCAGGAATCTCTCTTCTATAGCTGCTAGAAATGTTACTAGTGCAGAATATGCCAACTGCCAGCTCCTGAGCCTCCATACTGCCCAGCAGGGCCTAAGGACACAGCGCTTGGCACCGTGGCTCCTGAAGGGCTGGTCTCACCGTGGGGAATGGCAACACCTGAGCAGCAAGGTCTGCTATTTCAGCTATTTCCTTCTAACAGCACCAGTCAGTGTTATTTTACCACAAGTATCTTATTTCATTCCAGAAATAAACACTCCACATCATCATTTAAACTTGAAAAATTAAGTGCAAATCAGCAGCAAATGTGCACAGCTATAAAATGCTGTTCTACACTCTAGACCATAAATATTCTACATTGGCAACACTGGGGTGCAATGTTTATATGGCTTAAAAAAAGAGACTATTAGAAACAGGATGGTCTTGCCCTTAGAGCCCAGACACTTTAACCCTGTTTGTCCATTCTGTTATAAATGGATGGACACAGCTTCTAATGCAGTACGAACTACAAACTGGCTCCAAATTTTCAGCGCTTTCTGCTGACTCTACAGTCTGATTAGGAGTGCTAACCCTAAGGATTAGGGTTAACCATTTCTGCCAATCCAACAAGTGAAATCAGATCTGTCACTCTTTCTATAGACCATCCGCAGACAAACCAGGATAGGACGGATGGCAGCTTCACAGTGAATGAGTGTAAGTTTGGATCATCAGTTCTATGCATTATGGTGTTTCCCAATTACCGTTCAGGAAGAGCTATGCTTACTGGCTATCATCTGACAGACGGAGTAATTTCTTATTTCAGGAACTGTGTTACTGGACATTTACAGGGTGCTTGCCAGTATGACTTGTGGGCCTTTTCAGTAATTTGGATCCATGTCTAACTTATCTGAAAAACTCTCATCAAGAGGTCTCTCTATTCAAGTAAGCCACACTCACTTTTCTGAAACATGGATTTTTAAATCGACACATAGTCCAAAACCAATAAATTAATGCTTCAACATTTAAAGTTTTTAAAATATAAGTATTTTAACGTGCATGACAGACCATACCTGTTGGAGATATCTACAGTGTTTAAACTCCACGTTAAGAGCTCATTTGGATTCATTTTTATAGAGCATTCAGTCTTTGGAAGCACATTTCTGAGATCCATATTATAAAGAATTTCCAGCACCTGCACACACAATTCACAAACAAAGAATTTACAAACAATCTCAACATGAATGTGTACATTTGAGATCAGTAAAACACTGACTTAAACCCCACTCCGAGAGCACAAAGGTCCCCTCCTGAGAGTGCTAAAAAAGGAAAGAGGAAGTTCTTGCTTTTATGCAAGAATATCCGTTACAGAATTATAGCACAGCTCCTATTCAATGTAAAAAAACCCCAAACCACTCACATACTATTTAAAAAACATCATGCATGTTTGAAATATATTTTTAAAAATTAAGAATATCATTTACTGAAAACATACCAAATGTCAATAAAATAGCACCCTCCTACCTTGCAAAAACACTGGAGATTCTTTTCCTTCAGAGCCATTGTGAGAAGAGTGCCTTCCAAATCAATGAGTAAACACAATACACCTCCTCCTCCTTCTGCAACCTGCTTGGAATTTATTTGTTTCAACCACAGCAGTATTGCTTCCAACGCAAGCAGACGTACTTCATGAAACTCACAGTGAAGGAGATGAACTATTGACAACGATGGCTTGGCTATTTTCTTTGCAACAGGGGAACTGCTGCTCTGGATGTCAGGACCTGCAGTCACCGGCAGCACTGATATTACAAGTTTGGTGATGCTCTGAAGATACTGTATCAGTCCTGGTATTGCAGATGAGTAGGGAATACCGGACACCAATTCAGAATCTGAAATAACTCCGTTCATCTCTTCCCAAAATCCAAACAATTGCATTCCTGAAATGAGAATAAAACTAAGTAAAGTGACAAATAGATGATGTTACCATCTGCTCCATACCATGAAGTGATTCTGAAGTTGAAAAACATCAGGTATGCAAAAGGTATCACAAGGTAAATTCAAGCATGAAATGAAAACATAGATCTCCTTCATTTTAAACTGATTCTGAATTATAAAACAGCTTTCCTAGATATCACGTGTATTCATATTTAAGTAGAAAGAAATAAGGACAAACTTTTCTGAAAACTATAAATTGTTCAACACACGGGATGAAAGCTTCAAACACCTTAAAAAATGCTACAACACTTTACAGACTGCCCATCATCTTTGCCAATTATAGCTGTTTGATAAGTATTTCCTTAAATCAAGCTACTGATACAGTCTTGTAAATTGTACATGCTTTGGACTACCATTGTAGAAGGTGATTAACACAAATAAACTGTATTAAAGACATTTGGAAAAAAATGTAGGTAGTTTGGAAACCTCAAAAAGCACCAAATACAAATATGCAATCATATTATACTCGATAGAATAGCTCTAAAATCAGAGATCAGACTGGAGAAAGTGCTGTCTGTCAGCCTACCCAGCTGCAACTGAAATCAGGAGAAACAATGACAGGGCCATTCTGATAATACTGAAAATCCCACGCTTTGCATAGCTTTAGTCAGAAAAGGTTACTATTAAGAAGATGCCCCTTCTACATAAATAGATCTGTCCTGTGTGTATCAATCTGAAGAATTTACTGATTGAAAAATCCAGTATGCTTTTCCTATGCCTATTAACTTTGAACAGTTAACACAGCTAAGAAGAAAGGAGCTGCACTGACATCTCCTGTCAGCACAGGAACTGTGACATTTCAGTCATTTACAGTGGTGCAACCTGCCCACATGGCACAGCACAGCCCGAGAACATTCTGTAGTGCGTGGCCACCTCCCAAAGTGAACTAAAAGGTCCCTGCTATCTGTGATGCCAGAGGGTTTCAGGCTCTAGCAAAGTTGGCAATGTTGACGCAAAATGAAAGGAAAAAAAAAAAATCATTAGTCCTCTCACACACCTAAGACTGAAATCCTCACACGCTGCCTTCTCCATCATCAGCAGCAATAAACAATTTTCTAGTATCAAAACCAAGATTTTTGCCCAGTTCAGATGTTTGTATAGCTTGTACTGCAAGGAAATTAATATGCTATATCCCACAGAATTCAAATACAAGCATGAAATAAGGCAAAATCATGAAGAATTACAGAAAAGAACACCACTGCCACTGGTGTTGAGAGATGTTAGAAGTTTGGAGTTTTTAAAATATCAAAAATGCATTAAAGGTAAATACAAAGATTAAAGCAAACTTACTTAGATTTCTTCAGTATCTAGAAGACAAGTCATTGCCATATAACTTTGCTATTTATAATTAAGTACTGAGTACTACCAAAAAGCCTGTCCAAGTATTGCCATTGAATTGCTGAATCTGACATGAAGCTGCAACACAAATATGGGTTTGTTTTACTGCCCATGAAGACATTTCCCTAATCCTTCTATTTACAGATAAATATCCTGCCCTTTCATATTCAAATTCTTCCAAAGCCATCTTAATTTGTTTGACATTTACATAGAAACTTGTCATGGTTGTACACTGTCTAGCATGTAAGGCAGAAGCATTTTCTGAGTAACTCTGGACAAGCTTCAAAGAAATTTGGTATTTGAAAAAGATTTTCAGACATATTACCTAACCATTAGTTCTGTCAGTCATGTTTTCACTACAGTTTCTTTTCTGAACGGGCTTGATGTAGTCAAAGAAACCAATATCACTGTGAACCCGTGTCACAGCATAATTCTCTGGATGACACAGGTGGCTTCCATCTCATAACATGCAAACTTGTATATTTTATTTCCTACATTTTCTAAAACTCCTCCAAACAAACTGGCATTACATACCAGCATAAACTAGCATTAATGCCTATGTCACACAAGTATCCAACTGCCAGAATTCCTTGATTTCTGAACTGTCTGGTTGCCTTGGAGAGGGATTAGGCCTTCGTCCCAGTTATTACACGGCCTAACTCCACAGACACAAGTTTAACAACAGAAATAATCCCAGGCAGTTGAAAGAAAAAGGTTCAAGTTCAAGCACCTCGGTTCGAGAAGAGAAACAGCTTCTGTTTTGAAGCCCTGCACCCTCTCAGCTTCCTACATGCTTCCCTCCTCAGCTGCATTTCAGCAATACACGAGTCCGCTAGCTCAGTGTTCAAATCAGGTATATATTTCTAAGTATATTGCAAGAGAAGTGCTTTTATTTCCTATCAACGTTGCTTTACATTGAGGTATAGCTATCATACGTGCAAGCAGTAACATGAAAACCAACAGGATGGAAGGGTCAAAGCTCTAGGGCGAGGCAAGGGAGAGCCGTATTAGGTGGACAAAAGGAGAAGAGGGGGAGGGTGTCTTTCATTTTGTTGGTGTCAACACTGCCAACTTTGCTAGAGCCTGCAACTTAACAGAGAGAGTGGTGACCCTTCTGTTGACTCCAGGAGCTGGCCACACACCGAGCTTCAGATCCAGTGCAGTAAACCTCCATTTGAATTTTGCAAGGCCAGCATAACTTCACTCTGCGTCTTCATCTTTGAAGGGGAAAATTATTTTCATACAAAAAACACGGCGTAGCTACTCACTCCTAGAACTACTAGTTTGCAGAGACTGTGATACAAGAGTCTTCTGCCACAGATCCTCTTTTTCTGTACATATTGAATACCTTTTCTGGTTTGGAAGCCTTCTGGATGACTTCTGTTTTTACCATGTAATTGTGAAAGACTGGACACTGTGGCTCATCTATTTTACAGAAAGTCTCTCTAAAACTGGATGTCTCAACAGCAAGGCTGTCAACAAAGTAAGACTGCATATTTGCGTAGCCTCAGCACACCACAGAGCAAATCCTGCATTCATCTTGTGCTCCGCATGTTCTCCAACACTCTTTTTTCACACAAATACGTACAGAAGGAAAGAAAGCCCCTGTCTTATTACAGTGCAGTGGAAATGCAGGGGAAATATTCCTGCTTTCAACTTCATCACTAAGAAATCTTTCCTGGATTTCATGTAAATATTTTCTCATCTGCTTAAGTTTAATTAAACTCTTTTCTTTGGCTTACATCAAAATATCCGACTAAACCAAAAAACCACGCTGGTTCCCAAAGTAAATGTCTGTCTATGTTGTTAAGATACAGTAAATACATACTTTTATTTACAAACAAAAATCATTGTACAATTTGAATGACCAGCTGCTGTGAGAAGGAAGAACAAATTTTGGCTGACCAAACAAGGATCCTGGCAAACAGCAGTCTTGTCCAGGATGCTGACAGATGCAAAAGAGCCCCCAAGAATTAAGTGGATTTTTTTTTTTTCTCCCTTAAGGATTGCCTCATTTGGGGGACAGGAAGAACTTCGGCTGTCTTCTAGGAAGGGACACATCTTACACAACAACTTGGTTCTCCTCAACACAGTGCATGAACATCCCAGTCTTCCTCAAACCCTTTATGTCCACTACATTGAGATATGCATACAACGTCTATGTCACATCATCTAGGTTTGAGGGGTTGTTTTTTTAATCCTATTTGTGATCAACTGATGTTCACAGTCAGTTATATGAAGTTAAATGATCTTTCATGATCTGAAAGTAAGGAGGAAAGGAAGAGGAGCAGAATGGACTTAGCAGACCTGATGAATCTCTAGCTACAAACCTCCTCAAAGTTTTAGCCAGCTCCAAAACCTGTGCCCTGCCTGACTTTTTTCTGCTCTTCCCCGCAGTGGCATGTAGGCACTATTCTATAGTCTGTTCCCAGGATAAGTAGTTACATACAGTAAGGACAGAAAAACTTCCCTGCTCAGCGATTAACAAGCTGTCAGCCGATGGACATTTCAGCTGATCTTTCATCTCAGAGATTCTAGAATATGTTCAGAAGTGACAGAAGTCATCTGAATTCCTTCCATATATAAAACCTAAACTTGCTTCATCGCCTTGCCAGATGATGTACAGGACTGATTATGTATTTCTGTTGGATTTAGGTAATTTTACAGTGGCTGTCTAGGCTACTGCCAATTGGACAACTCTCCGTATCATCAAGTGTATGTTGTGTGAGGGCCTTTTTTTCTGTATCTGTGATTATGATACATCTAAGTATTTGCACACTTTGAGATAAATATTGAGATCAAATCCTGTATGCAGCCCCTCGAGCATCCATGCCATCTTCCATCTTCCCACTAGAGGCTCCAGAAAAGAAGAACAAAGAAGGGAAAAAGGGGAGAAGTTATTACCAACATCAGAAAACTCACTGACACTCTGCAAAGTCAGACAAAAATTACAAGAGCAGCAATGAAATGCTGTTGTGTCTGCAGTACAATGTTATGGAAAGGGGGTCCCAGCATCAACAATCTGGATATTCATCATCATTCACCAAGACCTGCAAGAAGTTGCAATTATTTATGGACTAAGAGATTAAAATCCTTTGCACTCACAAACTACCATCTATCCAAGGGTATCTGAAAAGATCATATGAATAGAGGGAAGGCTGAAAGGTAATCAGTGCCAAGAAGAGATTTTCCTAGACAAATATTAAGGAAAAGTATTTTCTTTCATATTTTCCCTTTTTATTAAAAGTGGATTAGGCGAAGTCACTGGTAAATGGAAAAAAAAACCCAAAGAGAACAGAAAAGCATATTTTATTACAATGCAGAACTAAGATAACTGTTGATCAGGAAAAGGGCATATTTTAAGCAGGATGTTTTCTTTTAAAGACATCTGCAACAATTTCGACATCAGAGACTAAGCATCAGTACTCACAATACAATTCAAAACTACAAACATGAGTGATTAACAGAATCCACAGATAATATATTGTTGAGGATAGAAGCATCCCATTGCATTTTGTGTACTATAAGGGAAAGTTTTCAAAGAAAAAAAATGGGAAAGTAAAAAGCATTTGATCTGGACACTGAGGCTGCTATTTTTCTTACA